ATGTTTCCAAACTTATGTCAAAGCAGGTTTCGGCCACACAGGCTGGAAGGGAAAACTCCTCACGCTACATGAAAATGAAGATGAGCTCCAAACTGTAAGTTGCTGTGGACCAGGGAAAACATGTCAGTCAATTCAATATCAGCCCTTCTGCAGGCATCCAATATGCTTGTTTGCTGTCTGCCCGTCTCTTTCACCACAACCCCTCATTAGATAATCCACTCTTTTGCTTCCCAAGTACCGGTAATTTTTTTTCAAGCGCACACTGTGAGGATTTGTGCAATGCATTCAAGTGTCAAAACCACACGAATCTCATCACGTCGTTGGTGATTCACATAAGGCAGGTATGGTAGCATAGCAACCAGTTATAATAGGTGGCTTTGATTAGGTATTGGACTCAGCGCCCAGTATTCTATAGGGATGACTATCTCTCCGAGAAAAAAAAAAAAAAAAAAAAAAAGCACTTTGATTAGTTTTGCAAAGTGTTTGAATGGAAGCATTTCCAAAAAGTAATTTTGGATAAATTCAATAAAGTCATAATTTATTAGTAGAATCAAGTCAAGAAAAAAAAAAAGCATAATGAATATTTTATAAAAGTGACTGCTGTTTCCAACAGAAAAAAAATCCTCATGACACATAATTTTTGTATTTATACAAAAAAAAAAAAAAGTTCTCCTTCATGGATAAAAAAAAATAAGCTTCAAATGTTTACAAACTTTTTTTGTAACTTCATTCTTATTACTTTTTTCCTACAGCACAGGCAACAAACCAGTACAAATCCAAAGAAGACAACATACGGTATACTGTATATACAATTAAGGGAATCATGTCATATTTTTCCAAATAAAAAATATGCTGTATGAATAAAACTACGAGCGGCACAGTGCTTGACTGGTTAGCATGTCTGTCTCACAGTGCAGAGGTGCAGGGTTTGATTCCGGCTGCGCCCTTCCTATGTGGAGTTTGCATGTTCTCCCTGTGCCTGTGTGGGTTTTCTCCAGGTACTCTGGATTCCTCCCAAATTCCCAAAACATGCATGGCAGGTTAATGGAACACTTTAAATTGTCCCATGGTGTGAGTGTGAGCGCCGATGGTTGTTTGTCCATGTGTGCCCAGCGATTGGCTGGCAACCAGTTCAGGGTGCCCCCCCACCGACTGCCCGAAATCGACTGGGATGGATTCCAGCACGCCCGCGACCCGAGTCAGCATTAAGTGGTTTCAGATAATGGGATGGATATGGATGGATGGATGCATAATAAAGCCGCCACTTTCTTAAGAAGATAAAAAGTAATAATCCTTTATATCTGGGGGTATATATTTACTTTTATTCACAGGTCATCTGGTTTCATCATACTGTAAATCTGATAGTGAATACAGTAATTGACAAGATTAAATAATTGTGAAATATATCATTTAGTGGCCCAGAAGCCGATCATATGTATGAAACTCACGTGGTCGTGCATGGCAGCTGATCAAACCATTTGATTCCATCTTCAATATTCCCAAGCACATTCACAGCGATGGCTGCATCTTTTGGCAGGTGACTATTCATCTGCCAGGAATCAGGATTTCCTGCTTTGCATACAAGACAACAACCGTGTGAAATTGGCAATAATTAAAATAAGATAAAAAATATGAGCTGATGAAAGCATTTGATTTATTCATTTGCATTCATATTTGGCGGGGGGGGGGGGGAACCTAACGGTTGCCAGGCAAACTTGGCATCCTCCTGTTTTGTTGACTTCCACATTGCTTATAGTTAAGGCAATACTATAAAGTGTACTTCATGTTTCTCTCAAACAGATGAAGAGTGAATGCAGTAGTTTTTGACCCAATTGCTCGCTTTCATCTGCCAATGATACTTAATGTTTCTTTTTTTGTACATGGTGACTATGTTTGAACAAAATGCAGCAGGCAGATACTGTGCTACTGTAAAATTAGTGAATGTGCGGCATCCAAGTCCCAGAACATAGGATTATGACTGTCTTTAGGCGATGTGGGTAATCGTGGATGATGTGCAGATAAATGCGAACATGGGAATGAGATTTTTTTTCAAACAACAAAAGTACACCAAAGCCAAAAGAGCTGGTACTAAAAAACAATGAGACCAACGAACATTGTGTTTCTCCATCCATCCATCCATTTTCCGATCCTCTTTATCCTCACAGTGGGGTGCCACAGCCTATCCCAGCCATCTTCAGGCAGTAGGCGGGGGACAACCTGAACCGGTTGCCAGCCAATCGCAGGCATTGTGTTTCTGTATGCCCCATTTTGCCCAAACATGGAAAGTAACTTGGAAAGCATCACCATGCTAAATGTAAGCCAATGTTCGAAGAAGCATTTCAAGTGTAAATGAAGAAACTGACACTCGCTGACAGGAGCTTGAATTATTTTTGTGGGGGAAAAAAAATAAATAAAAATACACTCATCCCAATGGAGCCCTGCCTCCAAGTGCAGTGCATCCCCATATATTTGCAATTGTTTTTGGCAAACTGTTTTCTTCTTCATAGATACCCCACTTCTTCATGTTTTTTTCAGAACTTTTTTTTTTCATGGCAATTATCATAAGCGTAAATTATTTGCGGATTTTCCCGTGTATTGATTGCAAGTGTGAATGGTTGTTTGTCTGTGTGTGCACTGTGTTTGGCTGGCAACCAGAGTGTACCCCACCTACTGCCCCAAGACAGCTAGGATAGGCTCCGGCATGCCCGCGACTCTCGTGAGGATAAGCACTGACAAAGTACAAATAGAAATCGCTGGTCACAAGGAACCAGGAAAAACAATGCATAAACAAAAGCGCTTGCAAAAGGCAAGGTACTAAAGAAGAGCGAGAATAAACAAACAAACTGTTAAGAAGCCAATAAACGCCAAGCCAAAGACTGAGCGCAATAAGAAAAAATAAAAATGTTTACAAGCTAGAATCGATAATTAACAAGAGCTACGATAGAAGGTATGGAGAGTTCGAGAAAACAACACAACAAAACAACAAGCACAACAGGGAGCAAGGTCAATAATCCAACAGACAGTAGCAGAAGCACGAGTCCTTAAATACAGGGCCAATGATTACATGGAACAGGTGCGTCATTTGGAGGGAAACGCCCTTCACTCCAGCTTGGGCTGAAAACAAAACAAACAGACAAACAAACATAAAGACATGACCCAAACAGCTATCAAACTGTATTGTGTGCGCATTGAACGCTCAACTAAGAAAAGCCATTTGAATGTACAGGGAGTGTATGAATTGACTGCAGCATGGCTCCAGTTGTTCATGTTACTGCACAGCCTTCGCGTCTCATTCCCATCACTCTCAGCTCCCTTTGAACGCTCGCCTCAGGGCCAACGTCAGGCAGGAGAAAGCATCACGGCTGCGGCACCCATTCAACACTTCCTTCTCCGGGAACGCCTTCGTTCCGTGCACGTAAGACAAGACGTGCACCATTTTGTGGAGGCCTGCACCGGGTTCAAAACACAGGAAAATCACAGCACAAACGTTAACCACAATAACAATAATAATAATATGTATCAAAAATGATCAAGGATGAGTGCAAGATGAAGTTATGATACGACTTGCATTAGTTTCAACTCCCAGCAAACTGAAATTCCCCATGCACAGTGGAAAAATGATCTTCTGCAACACATCACAATAATTCAATCCAGATCCTGAGTTGAAGAACAATACCTTAAGGTTATATGTAGCGTATATGATGGATGCGCATCCCTCCAATAAACGATGATTCAGGAATATGTATCTTAATATATGGGGTGTGATGCGATTCAAGGACGGCTCGATTTTCAAGTGTAATGATTTGATTCAATTTGATTCAGTGGGATGACGATTTGATTCAAAATGGTGCCGCTCAGTTCGAGAGGGTATGAAGCAATCAGTTTCTTTTCTTATTTTGTAGGGTACATACGTATGAATTAATTTCGACTGTCAATATGTCATTTCGCTCCGAAAAAAAAGGATGATTCAATATTTATAAATCCAAATTGATTTCCTGATCCAAATATATTATCACAATTCTACCCCATATATAGAGAGCGAGAGAGAGAGAGAGAGAGAGAGCTCAGTACCAATCAAAAGGTTGCAAATGCCCTCTAATTGTTTTTTTTTGTGGTTGTTGTTCTTGTTTGTTTGTTTGTTTTTAATGTCCTGAATTCTAGATGAATACTTAAGTCATCAACATTATGAAGAAATATTGATGCAATTATGTGGTAAACCAAAAAATATTCATGAAAAGAAAATCTGTTTTATAATTTTGATTCTTCAAAGTTTTGCCCAGGTCACAGCTTTGCACATCTTGTAATTTCCTCTTCATGCGGTGGATGATACTTTATGATACTTGGAATGCCTTTCAAGTTCAACAGTTGTGCATCATCAAGAGCTAATAATAGCTATACAGTGGGGCCAATAAGTATTGGGCAACTTAAAATATTGCAAAATTTGCATTTGAAAAGATAAGAGGTTTGTGATTTCAATCGTAGAGACAAAATGTAAGAAAAAATATATTGCTATTACATAAATCAGTGTTTGCAACGTGGGTTCAAATGATACAAAACTGTTTTTGTTATTTATGGAGGGTTTTGAAAATGCTGTGTGACAGTGAGAGATAATGGCTCGGATGGAAATATCGCAAATTCTGTCGATTAACCAAACTATTGTGTGTGTGTGTGTGTGTGTGTGTGTGTGTGTGTGTGTGTGTGTGTGTGTGTGTGTGTGTGTGTGTGTGTGTGTGTGTGTGTGTGTGTGTGGTGTGTGCGTGCATGTGGAAGGGTGGGGGATATTTTCCCGACCATTGTAAATGGGGCTTCTAAAATATCCTCTTGCCTGCATGTGTGCGGATTTGTCCTTTGTCCAACAACAACAAAGAGAAACAAATAATAGCGCAATATATACCGTAAGTCTGGATTAAATGTATCAAGTTTTCCTTTGAAGACGCCAACGTCTGAACATTATGGGAAGTGAGTGTTCTGTACAGTGCATATTTCTATACCGCGCGTGTGGGCAGTCTTCATACTGATTGCGCCAGCACGCATTCCGGCAAAAGATTGTTTCCTTATATCCTTTGTCATGAGCCTGCAGCGCAATAGAACACAGTGCTCTGCACCATTTGTTGTCTCTGTGACCAGAAAACACAAGTGGACACAACAGGTTCAGACTATGAATTCAATTCACACTCTCTGAACGCATGCAAAAAAAAAACCCCAATGATAAAGTTGTCATATTGCCGCATTCACTGACTGCACTTGGATGTGCAGTGCCAGCATAATATTATAGGACTTCATATAAATGAAAGAGGGTGGGGGTTATCTGCAGCATGCAGGCAATTATTGTTTTACTGTGCATTTCGGTGTCTGTTCCGTTCTCGCAGGAATTTTTGTAGTTGCACTCGTAAGGTTTCATTTTACTGAATAATTTTTTTGCGGGGGAGGACATGATTCATCTGTGACAAATCTTGCAAGTTAAAAGACGACGATAAGCAAGTTTTGTGCTCATCTGACTTGTTATTCATTATTCATATTTAAATTGTTCAGAAAATGAGATTACTTCAATCTCGTGAAATAAGTACACTAGTCATATGTAAATGAGCACTGTACATACTTCAAAGATTAAATGTGGCGATGAGAAAATGTTCGGGAAGGAAACAAAGACCATCTTTTCATAGCAGTGAAACCTGAACTAGTGTACTTTTTGGCTGTTGGAAATGATGGTAATATAATCTTGATAATACAGCCTTGCTAGAGCCAGGTAATGTTTTTTTGTTTTAATATGTTTTATATTTGCGATTGGTTGGCAACCGGTTCAGGGTGTCCCCCGCCTACTGCCCGAAGACAGCTGGGATAGGCTCCAGCACCGCCCCCCTGCCCCCGCAACCCTTGTGAGGATAAAGCGGATCGGAAAATGAATGAATGTTTTGTACAGTATTCATAACAAGCATACAAGTGTAAAAGAAGAAAAATAGCTGTAAAAACAACCTTTCATTTAATTTTGACACATGGTCGCTTTGAATGTGAGCTACTGCAGGTTTGATTCCACAGAAAACTCCATTTTGCAAATGCAGACCAAGACAGACTCTTGCATGTTTCTCAAGTTCCAAGTGGAGTTCTTGTAGGCTGAAATGTCAACATTTTTACCCCTCCCACACCTTTAAACAGCAATACACAGTTACATTTATTAACACACATATGTGTTTGGATCCCCCCCCCCAAAAAACAAACAAAAAAAACAATTGCAAGTATAAAACGCATCGTAAACATTGTGGTTATTCTGGTGTCTGTTCCATACATGCATGTGACTTTAAGCGGTGGGGCCTGGTGGGGTGCCATGTGACATCATCAGGTCTGTGTGTGGCTGTGCTGTGAGCTGTGGTTGACTGCAATTCTTGCATGAGTATGCTCATTGTATGTGAGAGTTTTACTGTTGTCTCAGAATTGAATGAACGGCTGTCAAGTGCCTAGGCGACTGTGGGTCTTCTTTCCCCGATTCCAGGGCATTTACAGTAAGCACACTGACTGTAAAAACTCATAAATTACGATCGCTAAAAAACCCGCAGATTTCCATGATATAGCAGGAATTTTCATGACAGATGTTTATCAATTTCATTGCTAACGTTCATTTCCCACCATTGTGAGAGGTGTTGAACAACAGAGTGCCGTTTATTACCAGCATTGGCCCAGATTGTTTTGTGCCCTTTAACTGCTGCTGATCCTACATCCAATGTTTCCAATCAGTGAAGACGCCTCGTTGACCCTTGAGGGCATCTGCAAAGATCACAAGGAATGCAGTGGATTGAATCAATATGCTTTTTACATCCTTATTTCCTACAAAAACGCCAGTAGCATGATGAATGTGGCCACCTGTGGATCACACATTTGCACCAAAATATCGTCCGTCTGCAAAGGCTGCTAGATGATTCCATTAACACATCCGCGCTCCCAGGATAGAAGCTTTTTATGGGATAGCTGACTAATTGTCGGAAAGATAAAGTTACAAAACACGAGCCGCTGAGAAGGAGATAATTGCTCGTGTGAAAGAATGCCAGAGGAAAGTTTCACTGGGTTGTGCTTGTCACAAATAAAAGGTACATCAGTGTAACTTTTAAAGGTAGAATGTCTGATTAGCGGCGGGTGCCCTTTAAATCATGGGTGGGGAACCTTTTACCTATCAGGAGCCATTTCAAGCCATAATGAATTGATGAAAAAAGATCCATCCATCCACTTTCTGTAGGGCTTGTCCTAATGGGGGTCGTGGGAGGGCTGGCGCCTTCCCCAGATGACTTTTGTGCGAAAATTTAAGGTGAGATGAAACCATTTTTTTTGTCCAAAGTTCAAAACTTTTTGTTTTGAACACAATATCGAAAGGTAGGTTTGGCACAAACACAGCACTGCTCAGGGCCGGTGTGGGACTCATTTTCAGCACTGGGGCTACATTTTAGTTGATGAGCGCCCCTGCGCTTGCACAAAAAAAAAAAAAAAAAAAACAGGCGCAACTTCATTTTAGTGCCAGGGCAAGTCTAATCTAGCGTGACAAAAACTATGACATTTTAGACAACATAAAAGGAGGTCAATTGTGTGGCGCATGATCCTGTCTTGTTTGTTTTTTCAGTCTCTGGCGGAACTGGAGTGTGTTCCCTCCAGAGTCACACCTGCCTCTAAACATCATCATTATCTTGCTGCCTTTCAAAGCTGAGCTACGTTGACAACTGGCTGTTGGATTATTCACCTTAGCTCACAACTTTATTTCCAAGTGACTGTTTATCCAAGACGTTTTTGACTTTTTGCCTCAGAGCTTCTCGCCTTGTATTTCATCATTGTAATTTGATTTTTGACCAGCAACGCTCCACCTACTCCCATGATAGTTAAAAGTTGCATTTGTCTTTAATCTATTAACTGGCCAAGCTAGTTGTCAGTCCTCCTTCCCCCGATTTTCTTGTTGAGTTTCATCACGTTTCACCACCCGGTTCGGGGAAAACAGGCCTGACGACAATTATTCGTTTGTCAGCAGGGTAGGCAGTCTGTTGCTGATTACTCCATCATGTTGTGTATATTAGCTGCGGAAAGTGATTTTGACGACTGCATGCTACACAGCATTTTACACCATGGACAGTGTGCCTCCCTAAAGAATGAGTTGGCGGTTCACAACGCCAGTAACCTAGAGTAACTCTTTAGTTTGGCCATTCGTCTGGACAACCACATGAGGGAGAGATGCCGGGAACACGGGCAGGAACACAGGCAAGTGCCATCCAAGACCCTCAGCGACCGCAAGAGGCAATCGCTCAACGAGACCCACTTACCCTGCAATCAAGACCACAGAACCAGTCAAGCCATTGAAAGAAGAACCACTGCTGCTTGGTGGAGGTCGGTTGCACGCAGATGAGAGGCGGCGGCATTTCCAGACTGGGGCCTGCCTCGATGGTGGCCAGATGTGTCACAGACAGAGGCGATTGCTCTAAGACTGCAAGGGAAGCTGAGCTTCCCCTAAAATGTCAAAAAATAAGTGATGAAACATATGTGTGGACATACAATTGTGTGTACATGACTAAATATGCGATACAACGCGCTCAACTTTTGTTCTGAGTCCGCTTCTTATGACTGGTTACGACGCGACTCTCTTCTCATTCATTCCCGCAGCTTCACTGTGCTTTAAACTGTGTGGATGCTGGGCTTCTAGAGAGTTCAGGCTAGGTTGTCTCAATTTATTGAAACGAGACGATTCATTGGATAAATGCTGGTTTTGTCCTGCCCACCGGACGCTCAGCGTCTCTGGGAGTCTATGGACAGTGGGCGTTGATGGGCTGGCCCGGACGCTGAGATTTTCTGCATGATGATTGGATGATCTGTCTGAGGCTGAATCTCTTTTTGATTGACCCCAAAATGAGCTAAACGTAGAGTAGAATTCACGTATAAATAAATAAATTAACGGACACATTTGATGATGTAGGCCAAAATTGAGCTTCCCTTCCTTGACAGACCAGCATCCGCCTCTGGTCACAGAGTAGCCCTGCGAGACCTTCGTGCCAACTCCACCAGTATACCCAGCTCGGAAACCTTAAGTTGGACGTAAAGACCCGAGAAGACTTGAACTCCAGGGGAAGGTGTCAGGATATGAAAATTTAAGTTTCGACTCTTATTTACTTATTATAAATAGGTTTTGTGACCTAGACGGGCATCTCTTGGTGGAGGTTAAGCATATTACTGCTCCGACTCAGTTAAGACAATCAGACAACCAGTGAGAACACAGGAGGTTTTTCATCATGCCATCCCATGCAGCATCAATTGGGTTGACATGGCTTGGACTATAACCTGGACTCTTCCGGAACCGTAATAGGTGTAAGAGGTTTTTAGTGGATTTGATCGAGGTGCAGACAGATTCAGTGCTCTGTGGACGTGTGTGGTGGATGTCATCGATTTCATTCATAAACATGATACCTGCGTGAGGCAATCCCTCAGAATCATTGCAGAAATCAATTCACTGAATATAATTAACATCTTAACTGCACCGCCCTGACCGCACATCACCACTGATTTGTGTGTATTCTGCGAACAAATATATAGCATCCTCAGGCCGTGCTGACACACAAATAATGAAGAATCAGCTTCTGAAGAAAAAAAAAAACATCTTAAACCCAAGATGCACAACATATTGAAACTATCGTAATTCATACAAACGCTCATAATTTTAACAGTAATAATTTAAATCAAGGATTTGCTAATAAATTGATTAATGTCCTAAATAACTGTGAGAGACATTTCCCCTTACTCTTGCTGTTCAAGTGCTGACTGTACAAATGACTCTGCCGCCGTCTGTGTCTCCGCAGCTGTCACTCGTTGCTAACCATGCACCTGGAAAAGTCAGCAAATTGCTCACATTTGTTGGTTAATCCAAGGGTTTAAAGTTTTTGTCTCGATCAAGTACATACACACGCTACAACACAGCATTTCCTGACATTTAAAGATGACAAACGACCCTTCAAAAGATCCTACACGCGTCACCACTGGCTTGAATGTGTCATAACTATGATTGGCATGCATTTCAATTTCTTTGCTGTGCTATATTTATTCCTTACTATCTACTGCAACAACTTGGAGATAGTTAGTTTTTGGAAAGTGGGAGGAAACTGGAGTTCCCGGAGAAAACCCACGCAGGCACAGGGAGAACATGCAAACTCCACACAGGAAGGAAGGGGCCGGCCGGATTCAAACCTTCGACCTCTGCACTGGAAGGCAGACATGCTAACCAGTCAACCACCGTCTCACCCCATAGGTGTACATCAAGAGTTAAAATGGACAAAAAAGTCAAAAATAAGGTGTACATGATAAGACACTTTACAAGAATATTTCCTTGTAAAACCGAGCAACATTTAGTCAGCTACAATGGTACTTTCTTATTCACTACTTGGCAGACTGATGCTGACTTTACCTTTGCACATAGGCTTTCCCAGCATGCTCTTTGCCATTACAAGTAATGCTTATGACTCTATTATATCTATTTAACGTCTAATTGTGTACAGACAAGAATGAATATAGTTGCAGTGGTGTTGTTTCTTGTATTATATTATTGTTACTTTTGGTATTAAATTATTGCAACTTGGCGACAACCTTGGTAACAAAATTTGTGCACTCAGTGCTATACTGTATAATATAATGCACTGCATTAGTGTTATATAGTACACCTGTATGAAGAGGCAATAATAAATTTAAATTTGGCCAAGGCACATCATTTACTGACTCCCAAATGGATCGGCGGGCTGGAGGAAATTAATGTGCAGGATGGATTATCGGCTCAAATATACAAAGCAGATTAGCCCACCAAGAAATTGACAGACAATCCAAATTACCAAATTACTGGCAGTCCTCATCATCACCACAACCTCACACCTGCAGTGGCAGGGTCATGCTTTGGGGCTGTTTTTGTTCAGCTGGAAGGGACGACAGCCAACACCAAAGAAATTATGAACAATTCCAAATAGCAGTCATCGTTAGCAAAAACGCGTCAGGCTTCTGTGTAATAACAAAATAAATAAAATAGTACATACATACATGCATACATACATACAGACAGACAGACAGACATAAAAATGTATGTGACTAGTTAATTTTGAACTCAGCTACTTCCCCAGTTCTACCAAGGCAGTACACACTTGTGCAACCACATGATATCTTTTTATTTGTACATCTCCTCTCAAAAGATTTTTTCCCCAGTTGAATTGACCACGTTTTTGGTCATATTAATGGCGAGATCAATTTTGAAATAATTTAACAAGGTCAAATTTTTGTCACAGAAATCTGTTATTTGAACAGGGGTAATGACGTAAAGTGTTAGGGTGGCTTACAAAAATATTAAATGTACTTTTTAGAAATGGAATGTGTCTCGCTTTTGATTATCATTGAGGGCTACTACAGAAAATGTTTAATATTACTCATGATGATGGTACTTGGAACTTGTGAATCCCTGCGGTGGTGCATTTTGGGTTTATCATTGGAGGAATTAAGGAAAATATCCTTAACTTTTTGTCAATCAGAAAGTACATGTATTTTATAGATTCACTCGTTTGAATTGACACAAATAAAGTTTCCCACAATATTCAGATTTATCGAGATGCACATCTAAAAACACCAGCATTGCTTATCATTGAGGAAAAAAAAAACACATGCGATTTGGTTAATGAAAATTCTACCGTGACGTCATGCGCTGCAAGCGCAGACTCGGGCAGCCGCATCTCACGCTTACCCCGGTGACGTCATCGGTCGCCGAACGAGAAAAGGTCTGCGGGGGGCACGTTTCCCACTCGCCTGTGACGTCACCTTTTGTCGCTTCGCCACCGGGGGCTTTGTTAAAAGGAGATAAAAGAAAATGTATGGTCAGGTGGAGAGGACGTGTCTGTTAGAAGTGCGCTATGTCTGGGTCTGTGTATTTGGTGTTTCTGCGGATCACTTAAACGTGAATCGGACCCTTTTCTTCTTCTTCTTTTACTTCTTTTATTGGACCGATGTAGGGGTGGGCAACAATGGAGGAGCTCATTAAACCGGAAGCCATCGTGGAAGCCGTGAAGGCGCGCGTCAGCCAGATCTCCGCCCCTCAGAGAGCCCTACTAGTGGCCGGCACGCCCGACTCCGAAACCAAGGCCATCCTGGTGGACACCATCACTGAGGTGATCCAAAAGATTACGTCAGACGTGGTAAAGCACCTGCAGCCGGTCTTCATCGAGCACCTGCGGGGTCACGCTTCCCAGGCGCAGGTCAACATGGCGATTGACAGGTGCAGCCCCAGGCTCAGCGAATGCATCACGGAGACCTTCTCGGCTGCATTGGACAGTCCGCCGCAGAAGTGCGAGGGTGTTATGGAGCTCACCTCTCTCATGGAGTCCGAAGTCAAGCACCGGGTCAACTCTGCCTTGTCGGTGGCCAAAAGCACAACCGAATGGCCCTCGGAGCCCACCCTCCTCATCCGAGGCACCATGTCCAGTGTGGCCAACCTGGCCTCAATCTTCCGCAAGGCCGTGGAATACTTCCGGCACGTGTTCGCGCGGGCTCGAACCCCACGCCAGTTGCTATGCGGGAGCTCCGACATGAAGGTAAACGAGATGACAGACTCCGTGAGGCGGATCCTTCTCAAGTGGTCCAACCCGAAGGAGGCGAAGGCGCCCGATGTGGTGGACCCGGTCACGTTGGAGGACGCGCACTTAGCGGCGGTCGATATCACCAGAACCATCACTCAGGACACTTACGGCGGTTCCGGGGATGCGTGCGTGCGCGGCGAGGCCCGCATCACACGCTTCAACCTAAACTGGAAGCTGATTTTAAAGAAAGTGAAGAACTTCTTCAAGACCCTTGAGAGGCAATCCGGGGTCGCCGGCAAGAGAATGCAGCGCCTCCGTTTCTTCCGCTTCGCTCGCATGCAATTCGCGCGCATGCTCGGATCACTCAAGAGCTCCTTCAAGAACCGGGACGCGTGCCTGGTGTCGCTCACGCCGGATCGCCGGTCCCGGACCGACGACAGCAGCAGCCCGACCGTCGTGGGCAGCGACGGCCCCAAGTTGCCGGAGCTCCGGCCAGCCTACCGGACGAGCACGCTGGCTGTCCGGCAGTCCCAGCACCCGGTCTTCGACTTCGACTCCATCCAGGAGAGCGTAGATAAATTATACAACGAATTCAGCCAGATGGATGTTCCGGACCGGGCCGGGAAAGTCAAGCGTTACATCGACGAGAAGATCGGGAGCTTCTCCGAGGGCCTCACGTCCCAGTTGTATGCCTACGTCATGTCTTGTCAGAATGACGTGTACGAGGTGCCTTCTAGCCGCCCGAGGACACCCTTAATGGACACGGTCCTCTGGGGCCGACGGGGTAAGCTGGTGGTCGCAAAATCCGGGGCTGTCAAAGTTGGAAATTTTCCTTGGGAATTCCGAGAACCCATGGCAGTTTATCGTATAGCGAAAATCAGTAATTCAGACATTATTTGTGCTCAGGCTACTATGTGGTTGCATTTTGAGATCTACGAATCATTTTGAGTGGAGTTTAACTTTTAGGGGGGTCTAGCTCCTCTGTCATGTTGCAGGCCAAATTGACCCACTGTCAAGGAGACCTATTCGCGTTTTCTTTCTTTTCTTGGTATATATATATATATTTGTTACTATGCACCCAAAAATAATTATTAATCTCTGTTTTCTTTCTTTTCTTGGTATATATATATATATATATATATATATATATTTTGTTACTATGCACCCAAAAATAATTATTAATCTCAATTTTCACTCCCCCTTGCAGATGTTCAAATATTCAACTCATCTTATTACTTTAAACAATGCAGTACTGTAGGTCTAGTCTTCCCAAAAAGTATATTTAATATTGTACGCCATTATAACAATGATAAAAACTACCACATTTCAAGATGGATACAAAGATTAATTAGGTATGTTCTGCCATCTAGTGCAAGAGCATTGAATTGCTGTGCCTGTCACTATACGTCGCTGTCATGCAGTAGGTGGTTGAACAGTTACAATACGGACCAGTGAAGTGAAATTGGCTAATTTCATGCGTCAAAGTAAAGTAGGCATGTGAGAAAACACTGATGACGTGGTGGCCATTTTCTGCCAGATCGCTGTTGCGTAACTGCTGATTGAGTCTTGGCAGAGGGCTAAAAAAACAAAACAAAAAAACGCTTTTCATTGGGTGGTATAATGAATTCATTGGTATTTGCTGCCAAACACAGAGTGTCGTCGCAAAACAGTCACCTGTATTATTTTTCAAATCAGTTGTCGCTTGATATTCTTTCTAATTTTTCGACAAAAAGTTTCAAAGCATAAGAACCACTATGTGTAAACTTTCAGGCCATTCTATTGTCCATGAAAGTTGTACGTATCACTACTCACACAGTCACGGTGACCTGCACACATAACACAGATAATACACTCACTGCTGAAGTATGTTTGCGGGTAATTAAATAAATCTTTGAAAATGTTTTCCATTTTCTTGACATACCAAACTTCTACAGCAGTTTGGGATCATTGGAGAATGAATTAAGCCTTGATAATTTAATTTCAGCAGCATAGCTGTTAGTGGTAAACATGACTGTCTTATCGTGAAGTAGGGTTTTCATGCTCTCCCTGCGCTTATTTTTTTTCCTGGATACTACGACATCCTTACACATTCAAAGATACATCCGACATCCTTACACATTCAAAGATACATTCTACAACATAGTAGGTAAATGACTTTTAGAATCACTTAAAGAGGAAGTCAACCCCCAAATTTTCTTGACAGTAATATGGAGTGGCCACTAATCTAAACACGGCATTCTGATTAATGTCGGCTCTGTGGATTATGAATGGGTGGTTTTCTGAAGCTGAGTCATGACTGGTCATTACCTGAGCCCTGATTGGTTGTTACCTGAGCCCTGAGCAACTGTGATGTCACTTCAGTCAGCAGCTACTGGCAAAATGGGTGCCTCCTGAGATGAACAAAAACGGCTGGATTTTAACGCTTAACTCATGTTTCACAAAAGCAACATTAATCAGAATGCCGTGTTGATACTACTGGGGCTGCGTACAACAATTGAGGTTGATGTCCCCTTTATTGGATCATTTTACAACACAATGATGCGTTGCAGCATACTGCATTACACTACCCTCAATTTTCAGTTTACTCCCATGGAAAGTTTCCAACTTGGACAAATTCACAGAGGCCCCATCTTAAATATGAATGGACATTTACCAGAAATTTCTCACCCATTTGCAACCCTAGGGAAGATCCACTGGGATGGCCAGATCTTCTCTCCGGAGGTGCTGTACGCCATGACCGAGGATGCCGTGTGGAGGTTCCTGCAGCAGCTCTTCCTCTGGCTGGAGATGGAACCCGCCAACGAGGAGACATATGCGGACGAGGTGTCCGGCGCTCTCACGGACATCAACCAGCTGGTGGAGAAAGCCATGACCCCGCAAACCACCGCCAGTGAAGAACTCCCCCCAGAGGAACAGGTGGTCCCCAAACTGGATTTGGAACAGTCCTCGGAGGCCTCCGCGTCGACGCTGCGCACCACTACCCCGGAGGTCCGAACCCGCACACCGAAACTGCGCACTACCACTCCTGACTTGCGCACTGGCACCACGCCGGACTTGCGCAGCGGCACCACGCCAGACGTGGGCACCACCAGCGATGAGGTGCTGTCCGAGCCGGAGTCCGACAATATCCCGGCGTTGCAGGAGAAGCTGACGCGCCTTCTGGTGTACACGCTGGTCACCCAGCTGGACCAGAGGCTGCAGCGCAAGCGCAAGACAGGTGTGCGCATAGATGCCCTCGTCCTCGTCATCGAGCGGCTCCTCTACCGGGCCCTGGAGGAGATCAGCCCCCGCCACATCGAGGACATCCGGACCTTGGCCAGCATGGACCAGGTGGTCACGCCAGTGGTGAAGGACCTCATGGTCGAGTTCGGCACCCCGCACAGGCTGGTGGAGGCCGTATTTTCGGACGACCCCATGTTTGACGACGCCGTCTTCAGGCACCTCAAGATCCATATCAGCGCCCTCAAAGATCCACCCAAGCGGGCTAACATCTTCTCTATTGTGATCAAAGCTTTGACCATGCTCCGCTTCATGGGGAGCTCCATTTGACGTCACTTCCAGATGTGGAAGTCCATACAGTATATGCTGCACCTGTCTGACAGGTTCAAAAGAGACATTATGCTCCTCCGCTATACCCTAACAGGTAATGGGCATTGGGTACACCTGGACAGTCTTGTGATTTAAGACAATGCGCAGTTCTGATTGACACTGTCAGAGGTGATAACTTCTATTTATTATAGTGAAAGGTTGGTGCAATGCATCATTGATAATACTTACCGGTAATTTAGCTACATTAGTGTCAAAATATTCGACAAAGCCACAGTGTAGTGCAGTAATAAATATTTTAAATATAAAATTCAGATTATATTACTCATAAGAATATGGATGTATCATCTTGGTGACCACACATTACAGAGCAGTAGAGTTTCAATATGCTCAATTTATGTCCTTCACAGAAGAATCCACTTACTCCATATCCCCACTCAAGTCTTATTATGGCACTCCAATGCAAGAGTTGTCCCTTTTATATATATAATTACTGTAGTTTACACCACTGTAAACTACAGTAATAAACATTTCTGACAGTGTCAATTAAATCAGCATATGGGTATTTAGCACCTAATGTTTCAGATCAAGATTTTGCATTAAGACATTACCATTCACAGTATCCTTGAAATTCAATATATATATATATATATATATATATA